TAGGGGCTGGGCCCCCTCACCCTGGCCCTGGCGGTGGCGTAGGGGCTGGGCCCCCTCACCCTGGCCCGGGCGGCCACTCCTGGCTCCTCACTGCCCTGCCCTGGCAGGTGCCGCCCTCTCCTTTTCTCAGGCCTGAAAGGGGGGGACGGGGGGAGAGGGATGCCGGATAAAATACAGACCGCTGGTGAAGTCAGAATTTTGGAGAAACAATGTTTTAGTCTAAACACCTCGGGGACCTCTGGATACTTTAAAAATAACTTATTGCTTACCTGAAATTCAAATTTCTCTGGCGGGCCTGCATTTCCATTTGCTAAACTTCTACCTTGCTCACCGCCTACCTTCCTGAGGCCGCTCTGGCTGCAGGCCAGAGGAACTCGATGACCGTCCCCTGGGGGTGCCTCCCCAGGGGCCCAGGAGGCGGCTGGGTGTGTGGGAGCCGCTGAGTCCTCGAGGGAGGCAGGGCTGAGATGCCTGCAGTCCCTCTGGCTGACGGGAGGGGCTGGTGTTTCAGTGTCCACCGCAGGGGGCGTCCTTGTCGTTAGAGCTGCCCCCTCCCGCCTCCCCCCAACGGCACCCCCCATCCTCGGCGCCCCCCATCCTCGCTGTCACTGTTGATACAGGCTGTCATTTTCTTCCAGTGGGCGGGGGATCACCCTCTCCCGCCTGCCTCATGGGGGTCAGGCCCCCAGTTTGTCCATATTTAGTACACTGCCTCACTTTGTTAGGTTCTGTGGGCTTTGGGGATGTGATCTGGAAAGACCAGGGCGGGAGTGGGCAGGGTCGGGGCGCCCTGCTCCAGCTGCCCACGGCCGCCAGGGGGCGCGGCGAAGTGTCAGGGCCCAGGAAGCAGAGGCGCCCCGACCTGCGCCCCCCCTCCCCTGGGCTCCTCCCCGGATGATGGGACCGCGGGAGGCTGCCTGGAAGCAGCTGTGGGCACGTGGTGCGCTCCAGGGGTCCGCTGGGGCTTCCGTGGCAGAGGCGCGGTGAGAAGAGCCGGCCCTGGAGACAGTGCGTGTGGACGATGGGTGGGCCGCCGGCACCCGCGGGTCCTGGGGACCCCGGGACTCGGGTCCCCCAGATGGCGGGGGCAGGCTCAACTGGCGGTGTGGACGCCTGGCAGCTGGGGGGGCTGTGCTGGGGAGGACGGGTGGGTGCGGTGGGGCTGCGCAGGGAGCCCCGGGGAGGCCGAGGGGCTCCTGCAGAGGTCAGCAGGGGGTAGGAGGCTGCCCCGGGGTGGAGAGTCCAGAGGGAAAGTTCACAGCCGACCAGCCCAGGGGCCCGTGGTCGAGGAAGGTGGCCCTGCGAGCGGGGTGTGAGCACGCAGCGGACAGCCGTGAACGGCCGCCTGCCCCCACCCGGCGTCCAGGGTGAGGACCCAACGCTCCACGACCCACACCCGAGGGCCCCTTGGACATCCGTCCTGATTCCAGAGAGGTCAGCGGGTGCCACTGTGTCCCTGGGGCCTCTCGCTCTGATGTGAGTGGTCCGGGTGCCAGTGCCCACGGCGCCCACCGGGCTGGGGAGCTGAATTCCCCGGGCAGCCGTCGCCTCTTCTGCAGGGACAGTTGTTAGTTTGCTTCCACCTGGGGCCAGCCTTGCTCTTCCAGCTTTCATTGGGCGTGGGGAGTGGGGACCTCGGGACGTGGACGTCTGGCTTCAGCGGGTGCTGCCTCGGGGCTCCGAAGCGGCGGCCGCTCCCTGGCACTACCCCAGACTCCCGGGAGGGCCGGGGGCCTGAGGGCCTGAGGACTTCCTGCTCATCTGGGGTGGCGATCAGCAGGCGGAGGAGCGATGGTGGGGCGCCGGCAGAATCGGGGACCCGGCCCACCGGTTTCCCCCGCAGACCCTGGAGAGGCGCTCTTGCCAAGCCAGCCTTCGGGCGCGTGCACAGTGCAGGCAGCTGTGAGGGCGGGACGCAGTGGGTCCGGGGTCGGCCTCCATGGCCGCCACCATCCCCACGGTGGGCCCGCCACCACGGGCGGCAGCTGGAAGGGTCTCCTGGTGGCTCTTGTTGGGGAGACGCTGATCGGGGGACACTGAGCCCCAGCAGCCCAGCTGAGAAGACGTGGGCGGGTTGCCTGGAACATCCTCCAGGCCTCTTGGCCCCACAGCGACAAGCCTGGGGTTGCTTCCCCCCACGCAGTCTTGCTGGGGGTCCCCCAGCCAGCTCTGAGCCTTGGGTTCTCTGTAAATGGGGTCCGTAGCGCCGCCGGGCTGCCTGGGCAAAGGACACGCATGCAGGACTCGGCGCGGAGGGGCTCTGAAGGGCGCTGCCCGTTGTGGGAGGGGGCGGGAGGCCTCGGAGCCGGGCTCGCCCGGCCTCCAGGACACACAGGGGCCCCGCCCCGCCCCGCCAGCTGGCGGTGGAGCAGGATTAGCGCTGGACAGCGAGGCTTAGCCCTGCTAAGGCCCCGGCCCCATAATCCCTCCGTGTGCCCCCCGCACTGACGTGTCCCCCTCGGCCGCGGGAGTGGGCTTGGGCCTGCCTCGTCCCCGAGGCGGGGTGAGAGCGTCAGCTGCCGCCCAGCGCACACATAGCAGGTGCCACCATCTGTGACGCCTGTGACGGGCCCGAGGGGGACTGGCCCTGCGGTGCACGGTGGGGAGCCCACGGCAGGTGAGACCCGGCCTGGGCGCTCAGCCGGTGGGTGAAGAACACCCTGCCTGGGGCTCAAGAGTGGGGTGGAGGGGTGGTGGAGTGAGGGCAGAGACTGGCAGGGGCTTAAGGGTGGGGTGTCTTGGGAAACAGAGCAGCCAGGGTAGAGCAGCGTCTCAGGCCCCAATGGGGATTTCCCTGGGCCCCTGTGCATAACCCTCAGCCGCCTGGGCCAAGGCAGGCGCCCCGAGGGCCCGCTGCGAATAGGGGTTTTGCCAGGGCTCGGGGCTCCTACGGAGGTCCCAGCCACACCATCGCAGCCCCGAGGGCCGGAAAGTATCCCTCTGGTCCGGCAAGACACCCCCACCCAGCACAGTGCACCCAAAAAGGCCAGGAGAGGTGCACACCTCTTCCGCAATGGGCTGCAGTATTGGGGTGCCCCAGGCTGAGTCCCACTTAACTGTCCCGCCACCTCCTGGGTAGAAGGCAGCAAGGCCTGAAATCTGGAGGCGTGGGAGGGCTTCTCCGCGGGGACTTCTGGCTGAGAGGGGGCCGAGGGGCGCAGCCTCAAGCTTACAGTCTCCCAAGCACCCCGGGAGCCCCAGCGCCAAGAGAGGCAAGAGGCAGCATCTGGCAGCAACTCCTGGAAATGAGGTCTGGACCCCCAACCCTCCCTCTCTCACAGGTACCAGCAGGTACGGGGGCAGGCATTTCCTTCTGTCTGCAGGACCAGCAGGTGGGGTGCCCCGAGGAGCGGCGGCCAGCATGCCCAGGACAAGCACTCACGGCCAGCCACCCGTGGGCCCGCACGCCCCGCCGGGGCCGGCCCCCGGCCCCCAGCGCCGCCACACGCTCCCAGCCAGCGAGTTTCGCTGCCTCACCCCAGAGGACGCCACCAGTGTGTTTGAGATCGAGCGGGAAGGTGGGCAGCTGCGCCGCCCTGGTGCTGCCGGACCCTGCGGCGTGGACGTGTTTAAGATGGGGGGGGCAGCGTCCAGAATACCCTGCCCGCCGGTGGGGGAGGGCGTGGGGTGGTGGGCGCAGACCCGCGGCAGTGGGTACAGTGTGGCGCGGCGGCCCCAAAGCCCCCACCGCCCCTCCCGTTCCAGCCTTCATCTCCGTCTCGGGCGTCTGCCCCCTGCACCCGGCTGAGATCCTGCGCTTCCTGACCCTGTGTCCAGAGCTGTCCCTGGGCTGGTTCGAGGAGGGCTGCCTCGTGGCCTTCGTCATCGGCTCGCTGTGGGACGAGGAGAGGCTCACGCAGGTGAGGGCGGCCGGAGCCGGGCCGCTGCCCCCGCAGTGCCCCGGCAGAGGCCCCGCGGCGGCCTGTCCACCATGGCCAAGCCCGCCGGCAAAGACTCGGGCCTGAAGGAGAAGTTCAGGAGCCTGCTGGGGCTCGGGACGCCGC